ATCAACTGGGGTCTTTTGCCTTTTTCATACAAGTAAGACTGGCTCCAGTATAAAAACAATAACTAAAAGCTTCCACCCTATTTTGGGATGCCAGATGGCACTGTTTACTCTCACGATCGGGCGACACACAAGAGAGACACTAAAATGCCATTTGGTTGAGCAGAGTTTCAGTATTTACTGCTATTCACTCCTAAAGCTGTTGCTGTATTTCTCTCGATAATTTTAGAGCTGTGACACAATGCGACCCCTTAAAAATGAAAAGTATGCACAAGCCCATAGATTGTTGTCTGGCAATTAATTTAGTCCAATGTTAGGCCTCTCAGGAACGTAGTTGTCTGAGGTTTAATAAATATTTTACACAATCCTGTGTCTTCTGTCTTTTTCTTGATGGTTTAAAAATAAATGAGGTTATGTTTTGTTAGTACTGGGGTGGAGATTGTTTTGGTTTTGAATAGGGGAAAAAAAATCTTAATATGAAAAATGATGCAGTTCATTACAAGTTTTGTAAAGATCAGAAGAAAATGACAAGCTATCAGAGAAAAGTATATCACTACAATAGATAGATAGAAAAATAAAAGTGATGAAGTTAAAATGTAATGAGTCAGCTTCCAGATATTGTACAGAGTACAGTATCGTGCTAAATTGTTGCTAAAAAGCATAAAAATACTTTTAATGTTTTTTCCTTTTGAGCCACAAACTTTAGTCTGCACAAATAGTAGTACATAGTTGTGAAATAGAAAGAACACAACACATTACTTTAAAAAGGTTTCTTTAAGTAATCTAGAAAGTGCAGGATGCATTTTATTTTAATCCCACCTCAGTAAAAACCTAGTTACAGCTACACAAGTCTTTTGAGGTGTTCTTTATTATTTTATGCATCTCCAGTTAAAGTAAAAAAATGTTCATGTACATTAAAGACTTAGATATGAAATTATTTTTCTTCAAATAATTTCTTTTTCCGATAGAAAACAACACAGTCATCTATCAAAATATGTGGGGGAAAAAATTCAGTGTCAGTTTCTGGGGGAAAAAAACATTTACCTTTTTGTTATTACTTTTTTTATGGGAATAACATAAAAAAAAAAATTAAAGCCACACACAATTATGTGGAAAGTAATTTTTTTTTTTTTTTTTTTTCAGGGGTGGGGCAGTTACAGCAATAAAACCCTTCTTACTCATTTTCTATCAGTTCTTTGGATTTTCCCTCTGGCATTTTTCAAGATTCCTCTTTGACTGACTCAGAGTCTTTGATTCCCTTTGCCATTACCCAATCTTCAACTATTCTCTATTCTAATCAGTACCTCTGGGTCTATCCCAAACATTGGTGTTACTTCTGCTTGTAAGACACAAAAGTTAAAAGCATTACTATGAAATTTGCGGAGGGTATAAATAATTATTTTGGGAATAGCCCAGTCAGATTGACATGTTGTATATGAAAACAAAAAAAGGAAAGTTTGTATAAGCATTTTTGATCTACTTCAAACACACATATAGTACCCATATATCTATGTGTTCGGCAGCCCCGCTTCTGTCAGTCAGCTCCAGGGCAGCTATGGCTACAATGTAGCTTGCCACCATCAGCGTGTGCGTGAATAGGTGAATGACTGAGTGTAGTGTAAAGCGTTTTGGTCAAGTCTCCTGACTTGAAGAAGCGCTATATAAGTACAGGCCATTTACAATATCTATTGCATGATTGAGCTAACAGATTCTCATCATAGAAGGAGCACTAACAAATACATAATATGTTCCCACCACCTACACCTATATGACAGAGCTGGCCTCCCTGATGAGCTTTTTCTGCCTCTTCAGCTCAGCTACAGATAAGCTGCTGCTTCTGTATACAACATAATTGATGATTCCTCACAGAGGAGAGCCCCTAAACTTCAAAACACATTGACCCTCTTTGTTGTTGTTTGGATTCCAGTTTATTGTTCAGAACAGCATGATAAAGAGCATGTTATTGGTTCCTTGAATACTCACCTGTTTGAGTAAAGTGGTTCTGTGCCTGTGAAAATCCACCAGCAGCTCTTTTTGTTTTCCCTGAATTTAGCGTTGGATGATTCTGCTGGCACCAGTCTATAAAGCTCTTTTTCTACCATCTGCACTCTGAGTCATCCTCATCTGTGAGACCGACTGGGGCAGAGTCATGAGAGAACATCTAAAGGTTGCAGTGCAGAGGGGGAACAGAGAGAGTGTCAGCAAAGTTTCCTGTAGAGCAGAGAAAACGCCTGTGTCTTCACATGCTGTCTTCAGTATGTACCAGTACCAGCAAGGTAATCCAGTATCCACAGGAACAGGTTCCACTCCTGTAACAACATATTCGGAGACATATTGATTGGGTTTTGTTAGAATATTCACAGACCAATCAAGGCCTTCTTGTCTAGTGCTAGTATAGCACATAGGGCTAGTGTATTTCCATTCTATTCATTTTATGAAACATGCAGTTAAGGCAACCTAACAGAGATAATATGTATTCCTTGAGGTTAAAGGTATAGTGGAGAATTTCCGCTAATTTTTTAAAAGACCCGCCCTCTCCAATTAAAAAAAAATAATTTGCATGCACAAGCTCATTACTCCTTGTGCACATTCTGTTTAAAAGTTGCTGTTCTCATAGCTCATACAAGTTTACTGTGCTTAAACATCTGCCCTTAGCCCTCAATCACTATATAGAGCGGGGACTATATAGTGGACTCTATAGTGAACTCAGTAACCTTACCGTTCACACAGATGATCACTGATTTTTGCTCCCCATTGGTCACATAACTCCTCCTCAACTGCGCAGTGCCTGCGCCATCTTTGTTATTAGTCAGCGCTGTCGGGTAGTGACAGCCTATGGCAACATCAGGCCACTGTGACAGAAAATCCCATAATGCTTTGCGAGGAGAGCTCTCCGTGCAAAGCATTCCAGGATATATCTGGCTCTTCTGAGGCCTTTCTTTTCTTCTCATACAATTTGTAGACACTTTTTCTCTAATGACCCTTTTCAAAGGACCGCAGTGAAAAAGCTGAGCTTCAATGACTGTCTGAAACCATAGCTCACCACACATAGAAGCCTGAAATTGAGCATGCGCAGAAAAATATAGCTAACTGGACGAGCACGTGGACGGTCTTACGTAAACATATCACCAGAATGATTGACAATTAGGAGGACCACTTAGACGATCCACCTGGAAATAAGAGGCCCTCCTCTATACTGTTAACTTCGGAAACAAATAAATATTTTAACTTGCAGGAATACAGTAAAAAAACAAAGTTAAACGTTTTTGTTTTTTTTCTATCATCTTTTATGACATTTTTTCACCACAGTTAGATTTCCTACCTCAGTAGTATTCATCTTTCAAACAGCCACTGAAAACAGAAATTTATTTCAGTCCAACTGGAGGCAATCGGGAAATTGGGATATTCTGGTTTTTTTTGTCTGGGGGAAGCTAAAATCAACCAAAACTGAAATTTCTGTAGAACTGCTTTGACATAATTATCCTTCTCTATAGCTACAGTTAACAAACAATGGTTTATTGCAAATGTAACTCTCAATAAAGTTTAATCAACAGATGCCCTGACAGCAAATTCTCCCACCTGAGCTGTGGAGGCATGCAGCTACTCCAGACCTGCTTTGGAACTGTTGTAAGTTAATATTTAGTTTCTTATTCAAAACCAAGCCATTCATATCTCCTGTAGTAATGTAATGCTCTTTATGTCATAGGTTCACCTTCCAGCATTTGAGTTTCAAGAACAGCTGAAAAACTCAGTTGAAGGAACAGCCATGTCTGCAATGCAACAGAGGCTCAAGGATTGCATAGGCTAGAGTTTCCTAACACTGCAACATGAGCACTTTTGATGCCAAAACCTAAACCATGTGAGTGATGCATGCTTAGAGGATTAGTGTAACACCTATCCAGCTTGCATCAGGAAAAAGGAGAATCTATGTTTAGAACGTATTATACTGTGCAATAAAAAAAAACAACAACAAAATACTGGATTCATAATATGTTTAGCTCGAGACACTTTATTTACACATGTAATTTTAGACATAAAAAATGAAGTAGTCATCAGTTTTAGATGCACAAACTGTGAATATTAAAAAGACAGGACACACGAGTCATTTCTGTGAGATATCGCATTCATGAAAAAAGGGTTATCTGCACATGAAAAAAAAACATTTTAGTCTGAGATCCTCAGTTCACAGTGAAAGTATGCAGCTGAAAGTCTTTGTAAACCTAAAATAACAGTAATCCTCCTATGAGAGATAGTTCAGGAAATCATTTTGGACAAACCTCTTTAAAAGCTCTCAGAACCGTTAAAAGTGATCTAAGGAAAAGAGTGCCCAGATGCCGAATTCTTTGCACTCTTTGACCCCACAAACAATCTGTTTTCCTCATTCGTCGTTCGGTTATTTTAAGGATACAAACACAGAAACAAATTGCAGAAGTTATATGAAAAAAGGTATTAAACTTGAAAGAGAAATATACAATATATACAAAGAGCATGATCAAGCACCAGACCTTAATTTTACATAGACCATTTATGGGAGGATTAAAGTTTTAAAGTAAATATTTCTGTATGTTTTTTTTTTTCTAAGCACTCTTAATAATAATAATTGAACTGTATTGATCTCACATTGGAGAAATTTACCTCAGGCTGGGGAGCAGTGGGGTTAAAGGTCTTGCTCAGGGACCCAGAGCGCAGGCTGTGGGGATTGAACCAGGTATTTGCAACCATCTCAGAGCACAAGCGCACTGCTCTAACCACTAGGCCAACACTCCCCTGTTCCAAGATATCATACTATAGTGGCCAAGAGGAAGAAGCTAATACGGTATGCAGGTTAGGGTTACAGTAAGGGGTAAGTGGGGTATATTTAGAGGTAAGGCTGAAATCTAAAAACACAGGGATAGGTCTGGTTACTTCAGGGCAAATCCCTCATCATACAACATACAGTAGCCCTTTGTGAGGTAAGCAGAAAGCTACAATGAAGCCCATAAACTAAAAAGGCCCAACTTTAGTTTTTTTAAGGTCATATGTTAATCTTTTTAAGACTTAAGTTGTAAAGGACAGTCAAGCTAAATGTATGATGTATGGCATGTTTGTGGTCCCTTTAGTGTTGAACTCTAGACCCCAACAAATAAAGTCTAGAAAGTTGTATAGCGCTGGGTCCATCACACAGAGTATAGCACCTGCAATTGAATAAGCCCTCATAAAGTCCCAGTAACAGAGTCTTTATGTAGAGTAGATGTTGTAGGGGTTGTAGCCCAGGAGGAACTCGCCAACTCCAACACAGTAAACAACCTGGGCAATACCAAAGAGAGGGGCAATTACCAACGCCCGGCAACTGGCTCCTTTAAGGAAAGCCCCTGGACCCTCTTTTCTCAGGATCTTTCTGCAATTGGAGAAAAATGTCAGAATTTGAAGTGAACTCATCCCATTTCAGACGATACACCTAACTAATCAAGAAATAAATACCTAATGCAATCCACCACTCCACTGTAGGTCTCCTCATTGGGTCCTTTCTTGAGCGATTGCAACCTTGTCTTCACCACTAAGGAACATAAGCAAAAAAGTATTTTGTTGCAGGGATAGCTAGTTTTAGAAACATCTCGAAATTTCCGTAAGTACCCCCATGACTTGATGCTTTACTTAAATTTTCAACCATTTCTGCGTGAAACTTACCATCACAAGGGCTGACTGCTACAGCAGCTATAGATCCAGCCAGGCATCCAGACGTAAAGGACCAATAGAAAGGCACAGATGGATCTTCTGATGAATGCTTACCAAGCTGCTGCAGATGGGCAAAAAGAGGAAAGTACACAACAGAGAATGGGATGTCCCTACAAAAAAGCAAACAAAAAAGAAAAAGGCGTTGTTATTCTAAGTAACAAAAGTAATGATATATTAAAAATGAAAAATAAAATAAATTATATATAGAAAATGTCTAGAAAAATTCAACTCACCTCATCAGTGTGGCTCCAAGGCCCCTGTACAACCCTGCGACTCCTTTGGTCCTCAGCAGTTCTCTAGTTATTTCTATAGCAGACATACGCCTTACTAGAGGTGTAGGGGCGGTGTTGTAGGAACGACTGAGAACAGTGTTGGTCCCCCCCATCTTTAATGGTGTTACAACACCGGGCATCACTCTCTGCTGGGCCACTGGAAAAACAGCAAGCATAGCATCTTTAAACATAGGAAACATTTCGAAGAAGTGAGTCATAACTGATTGCATTGCTTTGCTTTTTTTATGTACTTATTTATTTTTTTACCTATCCTGCCTGCATCTTGCAGCTGAATCTTCAGCATCTCCATTGGAGTAGTGATGATGACTTGGCACATTCCTGCACAACATCCTGCCAGCATCTCTTTGAAAACCGTGAGCTTTCCACTAAGGATATTAACATGTTTAGTAATATCCAATAAATAAATATTGATTAACAAAAACAAATATCAGAAGGATTTTGTTTTAATCTACTTACACATCACTGCTGAGTTGGTGGCGAAAAAAGTCATTAGCAGCTAGTTTTATGGCCTTCTCTGGGGTTACTAATGTAAGATTTACTGCAGCACCTGCAGAGTGATTACAGAACAAAATGCAGTTTTACAATCCTAACCATTTTTGATAACAGTTAATATAATCCGAACAGAAGGAAACAAGATTTTTAAAAGGGCCTAGTCATATTATATCACATTTTTAAATGGCATACATCAGTAGCTCATTCTCTTTGAACACAAAGTTTTGCTGAAAGTTCTTATGGCACTGAGTTTTTATCTTTGTGTTTCGTGCTTTATTTTTGCTAAATTTGTTATTAAACAAATCCCTTCATGTATATTAACAATAACAACGCAGAATGACTGGAAGTAGGATACTGTGACTTTCCGCATGGGTAAACAAGGGAGTAATGGGGTTAATCCATAGCACCTTCCAACAAATGTTATGAAAATAATTTAAAAAATGAAAGATTCAGTGTGGAAAAGAGCAAAGAAAAACTTCCAAGAAGGATAAGAGTACTAACAGTACTAACACTGTTGTCCACTGAAGCTTAAGCTGTGTAGGTATTAAGCAGTTGCTGCGGAGTTGATGGATGCATGAGTAAAGAGCAAACATCCTTTGTAATACTGATACTAGTGAGAGAAATGCTATTCTTAGTCTCTACAGTCTAAGTATAAATTAAAGATAGACTAACTGATTTCTTGAAATCAAGACAGGGAAGGCTGTTTCCTGTCCCCTTTAACAATGCACTTACAATGGAAACATAATTTTAATGCATTCAATTTGCATTAATTAAAAAGGCTTCGGCTCAGGACTTTATTTATTTAAAACAATTTTTGCATTACTGTTGTGACCCTATTTGCATTTGGTAGGAAAGGGAATGTTCTTTTTCCATGATGTTCAGGTAGGAGGATTCACTAGAACTTAGAATTGCTATAGATTTGCTAATTCAATTCATATTAGTTGGTCTTTGACGACCTTGAGCTAACACTTTACTTTGAGGCAATACAGGATGGTCAGGATCTATTGAGAGGCGGCTTCAAACCTGGTGCCACATCTGTTTTAAAGGTATAGAGGATGATCTTTTATTTCCAGGTGAATCTTCTAAATAGATGGTCCTCCTAATTGTCAATCATTCTGCAGGTATGTTTGCATAAGGCTGCCCTACGTGTTCATCCCGTTAGCTATGTTTATCTGCGGATGCACACTTTCAGGCGTATATCTGTGGTCAGCTACAGTTTCAGACAATTGAAGCTCACCTTTCTCACTGCGGTTCTTTGAAAATGGCCGAGGGTCATAGGAGAAAAAGTGTCTACGAAGTGTATGAGAAGAAAAGAAAGCCCTCAGAAGAGGCAGATATATCCCGGAATGTTATGCACGGAGAGCTTTCCTCGCAAAGCATTATGAAATTTGCTGTCAGAGCAGTCCGCTGTTGCCATAGGCTGTCGCTGCTCAACAGCGGCGACTAATAACAAAGATGGTGCAGGTATCGCGCAGTGGACCAACGAAGAAGTGATTATTTGTCCGAACAGTAAGTTGACTGAGTTCACTATATAGTCCCCGCTCTATATAGTGATTGAGGGATTTAGGGGTTACGGCAGACGTTCAAACACATTAAGATTGTATGAGCTATGGGAACAGCAACCTTTAAACAGAGGAGAAATGGGTTTGTGCATGCTCTTGCACGCACATTTTTATTTTAAATTGGAGAGGAAGGGTCTTTTAAAAAATGTGAGAAAATCCTCCAAAATACCTTTAAGTCAACCTACAGATGGAATTCTATTTAGGATAAAAAAAAAAGAGAATGAAAACACTAGCAGGATGGATGCTTGGTGTATATAACCTTACATTATCATGATCGAATGTTTTTTTTTGTGTTTTTGTGAGTAAGCATATAATGTTATTATGCCCCTTTAAAGTGTCTGTTGAGACGAGAAAGGCTAGTTTAAGCTACAAGCCAGTAAACTAGTTAATAAAATGATGTGCATTTCAAACAGACTTATAATTGCAATATGTCTCAATCAAGGTATTGTAGAACGTACCTCTGTACATGCCAAAGTACCCTTCTGATTTAACGGTTTTAACAAGGCAATCCATCCTAAAATGAAACAAAAACTGATTAGTGAATGATGGCTGATATTATCAAATCAACACAACATAAGGACTTTACCATCTTTATTTGAGCAGTTTTTTTTTTTCTTACATGTTCTTGTACAGTTGCTGCCCACTGCGCTGGTTCTGCAGGCGGGTCTTGGCCAGGTCTATTGGGAACACACAGGTGACTCCAACTATGCCTGCAATCCCTCCATTGATTAGTTTGGCAGGTAAGCTGTACAAAGAGAAGTCAAAGCTGATGTTTACAGTAATGTGGCTTGGTGATAGTTGATTATTACAGGAGGATAAGGTTCAACATACTAATTAAGCTAAATAAAAAACTGAAGTATTGATTTAAAAAAAGTAAGTCATACGAAGTATTTTCTTTACAGTGCTGTAGTGTTGTCTATGGATAGTGTGTCATGCTTTATTTTAACTGTGCTTCTGAGAATCCGGTCATCTAAAAATAACTTGTTGACAAGGGTAATCATACATCCTACACATTGGTATTAAAAATCTAATGCCTCTCAAACTCAGGACTTTATATTCATATTTATTCATCTTAAATATTTAGTCCAGAAAATATTGTATCCGCATACAGCCAACATATCATGCTGGTAAAGTTCATACCTAATCTGTTGCTGCTGGGCCATGGTTCTTGGTTGTTTGTGCGTGCAAATGTTGGTCAGAGATAGAAAGCAGGCCACGGAAGGAGAGCAGGCTGAGAGTCCCTGAGAGACACAGAGCAAGGCAAGAGTTGAAAGATGTTCAGGATTATATATAGGGAAGGGAAACCCAGCCCAGCTGGATTTAGGATAAATCACATCTAGCTCCACCTACATCCCCTACAGCCAGAAAACTGAGCCAGAGTTAGCTGTAACCTCAGCAAAATCCCCTTTGGAGGATAGACCTTTCAGCCATGTAAGAACTAACTTTATTTACAACCGGTTACTACTGTAGCTCATCTGTTCCAGCATAAAACAAACTTACATAAGAACAAATGGAATACTCCTTACAGTTAAAACCAACTTTAACATATGCTGTTTTGATCACACTAGATCAGAGAAAACATTTTGTCTTTGATGTCAGATAGTATTAAGATTATCTTCATTTATTTTAGCTAACAATAATAAGAAAACTTTTTCCATAGTTTGTTTAGATTCAGAAGTTGACATTATATTTTTTTATACCTTTGAATAATTTTAAAACACTTAAAAGATAAAGATTCAGTTTTATAAGCTTTTCAGATTTTAAATGAGAAAACATTACTGATTGGAAGCCTACCACTGGATGTTTTTTTTTTTTTTAAGTCAACACTTTAAGCAATCTTCTTCCTTCTTCCTCAGGGACCCAGGGAGGCAGTCTGTTGGGTATGAGAAGGCTGAACATATCAGGTTCAAACCCTACTGACTGCCTGTTGGCCCCTGAGCAAGACATTGAGCCTTTGAGTGCTCCCTGGACGCTGCAGGTTGCATTCTGCTCCCAAACTGGTCGGTTAATGCAGAATGCAACTGTTGTACATTGCAAATTTAATTGTACATAAATGTTATTTGTCACTGCAATCAAAATAAAGTTATAAATTAGGCTAACTATCCTTGATTATTATTCTTTGTAGTGTGACATAATAAAAAAATACTATTTGTAATATATGTGAACAAATTATGAGCCGCAGTTATGCTTCCGGTTTCCAGATGCCTGAGGATGCCCCCATTTATTTGTTTAAACAATACACAAGGATGGCAACTAAGGAAGCATCCTTCACACTGTTCTGGAAGAAGATGGGGTATGCGCTTCAGGGATAAACATATCTTGGTACTAAAATATCTTTATTAACCTCAGAACTGAAGGGAAAGGCCAACGGTGAATGTGATGGTTGAAGCTTGGAATAGAGATTAACCACAGTTGCATTAGTCCAGTGCTAAGTCTTATACCGACATAGAAAAAAAGACCACAAAAAAGGAAGAAAACATACTCCAAATACAGTTTGAAAATGCACTCATAGACAAAGACTTTAGCTTTTGGAAACATTTGGTAGAATGTGTGGATGGCAGTTCTTAGGCCTGTTACCTTGCTGGAACATCCTGAGTACAAATCCAAGCCAAAGATTGTTTCTGCATGGAGTACGTATGTTCTTCCCATGTAATCACATGCTCTTTGTTAGTACTATGACTACATCCTACAGTCCGAAACACAACTATTGCCTGAGTTAGTTTCTCTTAGATATGTTTGCACTTAATTATTTTTTTTTTACAAATATATTCCATATGTCTTGAACTTGCACTGTACATGTTAATATATGCTCTCTGTTTAGCAATATTATCAAATATAACTTTTCTAAACTAGTGCAGCCACCATTACCAGTACTACATACCTAACCTTAACCCACTTGACACCTACGTAAGTCCTAAACCTAACCCTTGGCAAAATAGCTTGTGAGGACCAAAAATGTCATCACTGCAAAGGTTAAAAACTGAAACCTTGTCCTTTCAGTCTAAAACAGTAAAAGAATATTAAACAATGACGCTGCTCGAAGCTCTCCTAAAAAGTCTGGGCTGCTGGACAGCAGCCAGTCTCTGCCTCAAGATGAGTTTAACTATCTTTCTGTCTTGTTTATGAATAGTGCTGGGAAGACGTTGGAAAATGGTTGCCAGATTTGTCAGATCCACTGATCTGCTGGTGGAAATAGACCTGAGCTGCAAAGCGTAACTCTCAGTTTTTTATCTCATTTTTATCAGTTTTTTATCAACAAAGTAAAACCACGAGCATGACCATTGATGAAGTATTATTCAGAGATGTTAATACATGCTCAAAACAGAGTTTTATTACTGTTTCACTTTCAAACTACAGAAAACATTACATGCGATGTTAAAATACAGAAACATTAGCACAAACACTACTCATCAATCTATAAATCCACTTAGCATGTTGCTGCCTGGCTTTGTTAGCATGTTGTCAGGTTTCCCAAGGGTTTCGACTTCTCTTTCTCATCACCACCAAGTTTTAAGGAGCACTGATCGTATGAATACGGTCTGGGTTGTACACAGTGGTGCATGCGTGTGTCACAGCGTCTGCAGCTGCAGCAGCGGGCCGAGGGATAATGAAGCTGTGAGCCGACATCCTTAGGACAACCAGGTATGAAGACAGGACGGTACACCAGAGAGAGAGGCACACAGCTCCGCTGAATCATGAAAGCCCTTCCAAAGTGGCCCTTAAGATTGGTATCCTGGAACACAGGAAGAAGGACTGTGATGGATAGAGCCATTTTTAATTAGAACTTCAAAAAACCTTACAAAATTCCCTAGTATCTCAAAGATTTATTGGACTGTGTAACATCACACAGTCCAATAAATATTGATGAACCCAACAGAGTAGATGTTGATTAACCCAACATCTGCTCTTTCCTGCAGAATGGCAGGAAAGAGCAGATATTGGGTTCATCCTGGACAGGTTGCCAATCCATTAAAGGGCAAAACAGAGACGTAAAGCAAACACTCACACACACTCTAAGTGCCATTTTAGAGTAATCAAATAAACCAACAGTCATGCATTATTTTACTCTCAGAGGGAGAACATTAAAAACGCCATGCAGAAAGATTTCATGACCTCCCTGCAACATGCAAAAATGTTACAATTGTGTCACAACAGTGCAGCCCCTGTTTATCTAATACTAAAAAAATGCACTTTTGCAATAACACAATAGAAATAATGATAAAACAACATTAGTCTGTCTGTTAGGGGCTGAGGCAGTTCTTACTCTTGTGTAACAGTAGCCACTGCAGATGGTTGTGTTGATTGCCACACACTGGGAACAGTTTTTCTTCTCAATCCATATGGTGTGATTCTTCAGCATACAGGTGCGCACCTCTCCAACCATGAGTGCAAAAAGTAGAGTGCATTTCAGAACGAACAGAAGCATGCTAAATAAAGAGAGATACAGAAATGTGTAAGAAAGAGGAAACAAAAACATTTGTAAAATACAAAGCATTAACACAGAATAAAAATATTTACAAACCTTGATATTTAATTTTGGTGAAATGTGTTATATTTGTGTCTAGATATGCCAGAGGACATGCAGTGGGGCAAGTGATTTCCTCTTGATCTGCAATCTCTATCTTTTTGAAAGGAATATTGTAGTCTGAACTGTTTTCCTCCCTTTTACTTAGTATTCTAAGTCAAACTCTTCTCTGCCTCTCTTCTCTGTGAATGATTTGAAACCACAGTGGCTATCTAGCCTCTTTTATGGAAACCTTAATCCACCTCAGTTGTCCTACTGAACTCCAGTCCACAATATCCTCCCAAACATCATGGCAGCTGCAGGTGAGTTCATGCACACATGAATGTTCGTCTTCAGACATCACAATATGTAGTACACAGAGATTGGGAGGTGACATACTAATCTAAATTAATGTCCCAGCAGGTTCAGGGGATCAGAAAACTAGTACATATGTCACTCAAAACTGATCAGTAAAAATTATAACAGGTTTGAGGAAACTGCACAAATCTAGATTTTAATGATTTTTTTTTTCTGTTATAAATAAATACTTATAAACTATTCAGCAATAGTTTCAAAAAAATTACACTGATTTAAGTTTGATTTTGTGACTAAGAAAACAAAAAAAAATGCTTTTTGTGTGTTTTTAATAACTCATCACAGTGGAATACTTTAAAGAAGAAGCAATAAGGCTTTCAGAGAAATAAAAATATATTTTTCTTCTTTTTTTATCTAGAAGTAAGTCACAAGTTTAAGTATAAAATATTTTCCTGAGAATAAAACAACTTTGCGTTTAATGTGACTAGAGCAGACTACTCACATGATTAAGTCCCACCTGAGAAAAAAGCTGTAGCCTCTTTATCTAAGCTCTTAATACTCCCATAATTCCCATCTGTTCCTGAGAAGAAGCACAATGCCTTTAAACTTTCTCAATTATCATGTTTACTTACCATATTAGGGAAAAATGTAGCTATTATTTAAATAGTGAATAAACCCTTAACCCCTCATTTTAGGTGGATAAAAATAATGTTATATACTAAATGACAAATAGTAATGTTTTGATAAAATACTAGTTTTGTTGAGTCTATTAGGACACCAGTAAAGTTTAAAAAAGCTGGTGTGGTACATGGCGATGCGGGAAAAATCTTGATTATCTATAGTTTAAATAGGAAAATTCGCAAAAACTACAGAAAATATAAAATCAGCATTCAGAAAAAGAAATGATCATGTTAAAGAACTCCAAATGTGTTCAGAAAATCTTAAAGTTTAAGACATCTTACAAATTAGCTTGAACTGATCAAATTAGTTTAATCAATATATAATTTTATCTTTTTTTTCTATTTGTTCTGACCTTACTTTCTGGTCGTCTGTTTTTGCTCTACATTTCCAATGATGGATCAGAGTTACGTAACAAAGCTATCAGATAATTACAGTAAACTGGGTCACAAACAGCACAGCAATTATCTTGCCTGACACACATCTGAGGGTCATTTGGGTGACATCAGGTTTACAAAGCAACAAAACACATGTCTAAAAGTTGTTATTAGGCAGCAATAGAGTGGCAGGTTATATTTTCATACTGGAAAATAAGAAAACGTGAATAACAGATTTTCTGTCCTTGGTTTTGTATCATTATTGTCATTAAAAAAAGCTAATTGGAAAGCAACTTTTACTAAAGAAAATAAAGAAAAAAATAGGTGTAAGTAGTCTCCATATGCATCTTATACATTTTCATATTAACAAATGAGTTTAAAGAGGTTATGTGTACCTGCAAAATCGAGTTCCTCCAAACCAAAAC